GATGATGATGATGATGATGATGATGATGATGGTGACTGTTGTTGTTGTTGTTGTTGTTGTTGTTGTTGTTGTTGTTGTTGTTGTTGTTGTTGTTGTTGCTGTTGTTGTTAATAATCATTATTATCACTATCATTAATAGTATAGCCTATTGATGGTGTTTGCCATTCTTTTCCTATTTCAGATTCACTGACAACAAGAGAAGAATAAATATATAAACCACCGTGACAGTTTCAGCCATGACGGAGAGAGACACACAGACTCTCCCACCACAAGCACCCACCATGTCCCAACAGTTTCTGGAGGAGACATCATCAACGTCCCACAGACATCCTGGCCACGCCCACCACCGGAAGGCCGCGAGGACGAGAGCAAACAAGTTGCTGACGTCACCAGAGTGCCGGAGAAGCCCCGCCCCCCGACCTAGTTCGCCATCGATCTTTCAGATGTTGATAGTGTTGTTGTTTGTTGTTCTTGCTCTCTACGCACCGCCTGTTTCCGGTGAGTGGTTGTCATGGAAACCATGTATGTGCATTTACACAGGTACATACATGCACTTGCAAACATATGCACGAATACACATACACATACACATACATAACGCATGCACACATACATTCATACACTCATACAGACATACACTTACCTTACCTTACCATACCTTATCTTACCTTACCTCATCTTATCTTACCTTACCTTACCTTACCTTACCTTACCTTACCTTACCTTACCATACCTTACCTTACCTTACCTTACCTTACCTTACCTTACCATACCTTACCTTACCTTACCTTACCGTACCTCATCTTATCTTACCTTACCTTACTTTACCTTATCTTACCGTACCTTACCTTACCTCACCTTACCTTACCTCACCTTACCGTACCATACGGGGGTTTTTTAAGTTCTAAAACTAAGATATTTGTTGTTTACTACAGCTTGGTAGGCTACTCAGAAAAAAGTATAGATTACATCCATTACTGAAAGAGTAACGACCGACCAAAAAATGGACCTAAGACATTTTGATTTAAAAAAAGACTGTTTGAAGCTACTATGACGAAAATTAAGTTCTAGAACAAAGATTGTTGTTGTTTGCTACATCGTGTGACTGACAAAATATATAGCTTACATTCATTACTGAAAGTGAAACGATCGACCTGCAAATTGACCCGAGGGATGTGGGTGATACAAAAGGCTGTTTCCTACTTGTAAGACCAAAAGAAAAGCTCTAGAACAAAGTTATTTGTTGTTTACTACAGCTTGATTAGGACAAAATATATATATATA